TACAGAGGAAGTGAAAGCAGGAGGGAGAGAAAAGCAACAAAATCTTTACAAAAACATTCAAATTGAGCTATTTGATTCTTAAAATAAGTTTTACTGCAGAAATACGTGGGAAGTCTCTCAGGAAGCCTGATCATCATTGCTCTGGTCTGTTCAGGGTGGGCGGATAGTGTTTTTCTACAATGATAAATTGCCATTAACTTTGCTGTGATGAGCTCAAACTTCTCACTGCTGTCAACACGTTTGAGTGGAGGCAGATGTTGAAAAGGAGAAATGATCAGCGTAACCTATTACTGCTCAGAGTTAGTCATAGAACATGTCAGTAGCTTTGCAAATCTTGCATCTTGTTCATGGATTTTCATGAAGATTATACATTATGCAAGAATCTAAAAAAAGTAAAACTTAGTAAAAGTGTTTAGTGGTTTTCTCATAGTTTTGCCAAAATATCCCATTATGTTGTTATTACTACAGCTTTGATGCTTGAAAGGAATAATCCAACAACATTTAAGTTTATTATATGTAAACGTATGTTGTTACGGTTACACCCTGAACAGATTCGGTTTGGAAAAACAGGGAGGATTGATAAGCTAATGGATAGTTTGAGTACAGCAAAAACCAAAGTGCCTGCTGTCTCGAAGGAGCTTGAATAAACAAGAAGTGCTGGCAGTGATATTTTTGCTTGATGGTGACCCTGTAATGCAAATGTGATTACAGTGCAAAGTGTAAAATACCATTAATATTTATGGAATTTTATAAACTGAAGCTGTTTTATGTCAGCAGTCTGCTTTGGTCGTGGCTGAACTCAGACTGAATTGTTTTAACAGGTTTAACTTGTTACATTTGAAATAAGATCAGTCAGAGATTGAACGTGCCCAAGTCCATACTTATGAGTGCACCATGTGAGCACCTGTGTGCGTACCCACGCTTGTATATGTAAGGTTTCTCTATAGGAGCGCCCAATAGAGAGTGTGAGGGGCCACAGATCTGCCCCCCAAAGATGCGTAGGAGATGGAAGGAGCTTCAAGTCTCAGAGATCCAGTGGCTGCCCCAGAGCGCAAGGACCCCAGGGACACTGTGACCAGACCCCCCCCCCCCCCCCCCCCCTGAGAGGCGCAGAGTATTACCCCAGGGGGCCACAACCAGCAGCCGGCAGAGTCCCTGGGGATATCAGTGGCAAGCCCACAGGTACGCCTGCAGCCTCCCACCCCCAAGCCGGCCGAGCCTGGAACCCAGCGACCCGGGACCCAGGGGCGACCAGCCCCGCCGGGGACCCAACAGAGCCCAGAGACCCAGATCCCACCAGGCAGCCACCAGGATTAATCAGGCAGATGCTAAAAATCTTAAACCCCCTGACCCGGGAGCTGCGAATACTCAGGCAGACCAAGGCACCGCACTCCACACCAAGTGTGACAAGGGGAGGGGAGGCGAAGATGTATAGCAGCAAAAGAAGTCCCAGGAGAGGGGAGGAGTCAAAGGCCCCACCTGACATATACAGTCATACACAAACACAGTCACACACTCCCTCCCTCATGCTCACACATGCACATACAACCTAAGACTCACAAAAATGCACGCCAGACACCCACTCGTGTTCCCCATACACACCCTATTCACTCTGGTCCTGGTTCTGCTGCACATGGAGTACAACCATTACCGGTTCCCAGAGTTTGACCCTTTCTGCTGTGGTGCTGATGAGCAGGCTCCCCCGCCCAATGCCGAGCAAAGCGACCCACCACCCAGACCCCAGCCAGACGGCCAGATCCCCCTCCTAGCCTCCAGCCCCGGGAAGCTAAGTGACAACAGAGACCCCTAGTCACCCTCTGCCTGCTCCAATACAGTGTTGGTGCGTGTTGATGAGGTGTATTCTTGGCTGTAGTGAGCGGGCAGTGCAGGCATCGTCTGGCCTACGCCAGCTGATGCCACCACATCACCCCTCTTCCCCCCCACAGCCCTCTGTGTCTAAGTGCAGTTTAAAATTGGAAGTGGGCACTGGCAGCTGGGATGAGGCTGAAAGATCCCCTTGCTAAATGCCGTTGTATGTGCTTACTCCCAAGGCCCTGTGTGTTTGCGTGGAATGTCGTCGTTGGTCGAAGTGTTTAATGTGCAAATAAAATTGGGGGGCAGGCTGCCACAGGAATGCGGAAATGGGGTCCATTCCCGCACCCCTTGACTTGTCCACCCCCCAAAGTCCTATGTGCATGATTGTGTGATGATGTGAGGGAGCAGGAGGAGAGAAATGTGTGGGGATGGGGAGGAATGGCTGGTTGGCCTAAGCCCTCCAGGGACCCAGCTCCCCCACTGGCCCCAGTAGGTACCTCCTTAGCCAAAATGCCACCCAGGGCATGGAGACCCCTACCTATCTTGCCAAGGCCCAAAACAGCAGTATTGCAGAGCTCCACGGAGTCCAAGGGAACCAACGCAGCCCTACCCCAGCAGAATATCTACTCCCATCCCTGCATTTGCACAGCTTCCAGAATATGTAAGACATAGGACATCCAGGTAAGGTTGGGTCCTCCCCCTCCTGAACATCCCCCTCCCCCGTGATGGACAGCAGACAAACCTGATTTTCTGCATTAGCCGCCAAAGAAAATAGGTGGGGAAACGTTACGTCATACTGAACATTTGCATTAATGGACTCAACCAGTTTGGCTCACAACGGGGAAGGTTGTTAATGATTTAGCATCCAGGAGAGAGCAGAAAACATCTGGGATGTTTCTCAATGCCAAGGAACCTCACCTTGATGTATTGGCCACGCCCTGGTTGCCTAGGAGATACATCATCAGGAACCGCCAAGGCGTGTTCCAATGTTCATGTTCTGCCGAGCTGTGTATTCTCCGTTTGTTAGCTGTTTAGCTAGCTGAGCAAGGATACACAGGAGGTGTCTTGTAGCCTAGCTTTGGTCAAAAATGACCCAGAATACACCGCTGCATTTTCAAAAGGATGGCGAATCATAAGCTGGCAGCTACTTCGCTTCAAGTTAAAAGTAAGTCAGCTACTTTAAAAAGTTTTTTTTTAATCCAAAGAAGTTATCTGTGGTTGGTTTAGTAGTTGCAGTTTCGGTGGCTAGCGGGTATCACTTATATATTTAATTTAATAAACATATACACAATTTAAAAAGTAAAAAGCTCGTTATATATTTATATTGAAACTAATATGCATAAAACATAACATTATCTCCCATGTCACGTGACATACGTGACCACGGTAGAAGCCGCGGTCACGTGATGCAAGTCTGTTCCATTTAACTGTTTGACCAAGGAAGGACAGTGTCCTCGTAAGCAAGGCACCTGACCCCGCAAGACATTGCCTCACAACACCAGGCGCCTTGACATTGAGAAACACCCCTGGACTAGTAGAAGCTAATTGTTAGCATTACCAACTCCACAACATGGTAGAACTCCTTCGGGCTTGTGTTATTTGAGGAGATGTTGAAAATATCAATGTTGCAGAGCAAAGTGAGTCAGTGGTAGAGTTGCGTTGCTGTTAGCCGATCAGACACAAGATGTCCAAGTATCAGGAAATGAGACTCCAAAGCCTGTTGGTTTCTGCTCAGCTGGGATGTGGCACACTTCTGCCCAATCCCAATGCTCACACTTTTACACTTGGGCCCTTCAATTGTGCGATCCTAGCCAGGGGTGCTAGTGCAGTAGGTGTCCCGATTCTCAAGTGTGGAAGTTGATCCCGCGCCTTTTGCCCCCTTGATCCGCATTTCACCACTTGGGCGAAGCGTATTACCCACAATCCATTGCTGCGGGAGAAAAGGCTCAAGTGCCTTTTCTCAAATATGCATTTTCAAATAAAAGTAGTTATTTTTAGGATGATTAATTGATGCTCTGAATGTCAGACAAAACTGCAATGACCGTAAATTTATTTCAAATGATTGTGTTGTTTGTTTGAAAGTTGTTAATAAAGGTTTTTCTAAAACAATAGCACAACGACTAGCATCCCGGCATACATTGTGGTTGATGACCCAATGCCTCCTGCCCCAGTTCGGCAATTATTTGCACGCTTGTGTACCACACACTCAAAGCCTTACTGCCCCCATCCTCCAAGTGCACTTCACTGAAGACCATAGGGTGCAGTGTGAGTGGGATTGGGCCTTCTAATTCCTGAAAATGGTGCACCGGTGTTTTTCTTCCCCGGAGTACGACTTACAAGGCATTCATTCCTACTAGAGACTACTGCTAATTTTTTAAGCGAGTGTTCCACACCTTTAAAACTGATTTACAAAAATACTCCACCCCTTTTTAAAATTGCTTTGTTTTTGTTGGCTAGTGTTGAGACGGCTCAAAGATTTTAGATATACTTTAAAGCGTCCCCACCTGTTGTTATCAAAGGAATTTAAAGTATGTTCAATCACTACACCTGGAATTTGCAAAAAAAAAAAAAAAAAACATCCAAGAATTCCTATTTTACCTTGTTTGTCCATTTTGGTTTAGTTTTTTTCAACGTGCTTAAGATTTAGAAGCTCCGTTGTTTACACTAAAGCACAACAATACTGATCATATGGCAAATTGGTGATCTTCAACAGAATTTGAGGTATTTTTTGGTGACAACTTGAATCTGATTAGACTTGTTCATGAGATCTTTTGGCAAACTGGCAGCCACATTGTTGAGAAGTGAGATAAAGACGTTCTGGTCTGTTACAGATTTGAAATGATCGTCCATTTCCCAGCGAGGGTCGATTATTATGCAACCTGTCTGGCCCCTCCGCCATGTGGTCGAAGCTCTGTCACCAGCGTTGCTCAGAGTGTCGACTGTTGACTTGCTGTAAAACAGATGAGTTCTGAAAGCGACTCTTACAGAATGATTTAGCAGCGAGACGGAGCAGCTCTGTTTTTAATCTGCTTCATGGTTTATTCATTGACAGCTGAACATCAGCATATCCTCAAGCTCATCTTTCACTATAGGTATACGTTTCTTATGTAACTTACAGAACCTGCTTCATCAGATCTTTGTTTGGACCTTAAACTCATTAATGAAGGAGGAATAACAAACATCTACACCTCTGAAATTATATTTATTCAGCAGTCAATACAGAGTGTTGGATAAAACATTTTTGGCACAGTTCAGTGATAAAAAGCTGTCCCGCTTAAGTGTAGTAATCTAAATAAATATGAAAATCTATAATTTATTTCCCAAATAAATACAATATAAACTACAACAAAGATGCACTGCATCTGTCCCCCTCCCTCACTTTTCCTTGTCAAGACAACAAAAGAAAATGTACAATTAGCTGAATGTCAGGCAGTTAGTTCAAACCAAATTAGGATAACCGAGGGTGAAAATGATAACTCGTAAATCGTGTCAACAGCTTCTAAGTCTCCTAAGAGTCTAACAGGCAACACGACACAGAGGCATGTTCGGGGCCAGTGGAAGGTCGCACCGTGGCGTTATGGGTTAGAAAACGTTTTGCAGATGGGTTCAAACACAACCTCAAGTCCAACCTTCAGATTTCTGCCACTGAGAGGAAAAGGAAAAACATGCCACTGCTTTTCACTAAAATCATTCGTCTCTTTTCCACTTGAGTTTTCGCAATCAGCTAAAACCGACGGGAGTGTAAACGCTTGCAAATTACACTCAAGGACGAATTTTACGCAGGCTGTGTCTCCTGAAACGTGAGATGAGTGATGTTTACGATCGGGACGTCGTAGAGTCATCGCGCGGTGGTACGCTTTGGCAAATTCCTGGAAGAAAAATAATTCCAGATGATGGTCGGTGATGAGATGTTATGTAAGGAAGTTAGAAGTAGAATACGAGCGGTGTGGAAAATAGATGGGGAGAGTTTGTGTTAATGCTTTAAAAGTAATATCAATACAACACAGTTGTTTAAGATGGGTACCGAAGCGATTAAATCGTTTTCATTAACAGATTTTTTTTTTACAAAAATACTTCTAATCTTCTTTTACTTGTGTAATAATAACATTAATGCATACATGCAAGTAAACGGGACATGAAAATATTTTTGGAAAAGCAACAATTCAACATACTTCCAGACACCATTTCAATACAATTGACTCAATTGATGAATTTTACTAATGGCGTCTTTGCCTTTTAGTATATTTTTGTCATTAAAGCTTGTAAACTATGAGAAATGGACAACTAAAGGTATGAGGTGAAGTAACAGCGATAACCTAGTCCTCCCTGGCTCGTCATCATGAGTCTAACCCACGTACAGCTACTAAAACGACACAAAATGCTAAATTGTTGTCACGCCACCATGTACAGTGTTACTACACAAATAGAAAAGATTAAAAACGTTTGATGTCTGACCAGTCCTTTTCATTTCCTGTGTTTATGTGATGGGGTTCCAACCAGCGGTGAGCTTGTCAGAGAAGGTTCCCACAGAGAAGCTACGCCCCCATCATTCCCTCCCCGTGCTTGTTAAATCCGTTTATTCGTCTTTTAACAGCATCCATGTTTGAGTCTTCCAACAGACGTTTGGAGCAGCATGAAGAAGTGAGAAGTTCATCCGTTTGGGTCATACACACCCACAGCTCTTTGCTGAGACGTTATAAATGTTTTCAAATTCATTTTTCCCGTAGAAGGAAATGACCTCGAACGCGGTTGGTCTGCAGCAGGGCATGCTGCGATTTTTCTTCCTGCGACTCTTCTTGTTGGAACTTTTCCCAAACAGCGTGTCCATCACCAAGTCGTAGGTGAGCCGGTGGGCTTCGCAGTTGCCTCTGCAGTAGTGCAGCTGTATTGTCTCGTCGCTGTCGTGACCGAGTCCCAGCTCAGGCACCGTCAGAACCCGCTTCCTCCGAGAACAGGCCTTCAGAATATGGTCTCTCTTAGTCCTTTTGGTCTTGATGTCCACTAAAGACTGCTTCCTCCGTCTCTTCTTGTCCGTTAAGGTACCAAGCACGTGCTGAAGCTCGCCCTCTGTGAAGCTCTGGAACATGGCAGAAACTGAAAGGAGAACAGATTGACATGTGACAATTTAAAGGATTGTCCGCTTTCCTGGGAACTTTGGGGCTTAATGTTCATCGGAATAAAAGGCTCAGTGAGATAGCGTGTTATGATTGGCACAACAATGAAATTCATTTGTACCAACATGTTTATCTTCACCAGCGTGACAGAAAGCCTTCTGGAGAATTCTGGTGAACAAGGAGAAAAGGCTACACAAACTCTCCTCTCCTTTGGAGAGTCAGTGACATATGAGGTGTTAATTGACTGAAAGTTGTTGTAAAGCATTAAAGCCTGCTCTATAAACAACAGAGGCGCACACTAAGTGTTCAGCGCGAACCCTGTTCACACTTTTCCCATGACACCTTAAATCCAAACAGACACGGAGGGAAGAACAAAACAGTTTATCTTACAGTCTGAGAGGAGAGAGTTCATGTTGTTGTCTGCTGAGCGGGTCTTCCGATGAAGACCTCCTGCTTGCTGCGGCGGCGCTCTCGATTCCTCAGAGGAGGGCAACCTGGATGCCGATTGTGACGATGAAGGTGAAGACGTGTACGGAGGCTTTGGTTTGAGTTTGAGCTGTCGGATGGTGGCTGTGTTTCTAATGAGGAGGGTGGACAGGGCAGCAGAGCAGAGCACGAAGGCAAAAGTAGCACTTTTCCATAACTTCATCTTAGAACGTGGGGGAGCATTGAAACTCTGTGGAGACAAAAAGGGGCACAAAATAAAAACTGTCTTAAAGGTGTAGTTCACTCGTTTAATTAATACATTTGCAATGGTCTCAAGTATGAATGAATGCCTTGTAATTCGTTTGGGGGGCTCAGATGCAACGGAGCATCACACAGCAGGACTTGGACTTCCTGATATTTTGACATCTCGCTTCTTATTGCCAAACAACGACGTAACTCTACGAATGACTCGGTTTACTCTGCAACGTTGATGTTTTATCTCCTCAAATAACACAAGCCTGGAGGAATTCTGCTGTGTGGTGGAGTTGCTGATGCTAACTGTTAGTTTCTAGTAATCGTGATGTTCTCTGCTGTTTCCTGGACAGTAAACCAACAACCTTTCCTGTCATGAATCAAGATAGGTGAGTCCATGAATGTTAAGTGGCAGTGTGACGTAGATCTGTCAGGCTTCTCTAGTCCTAGAATTTCACCATCTATTTTCTATCAGAAGCTAATGCAGGAGATAGGTGTGGGAGACTATTTTCATGTTCAGCCTGCATGAAAAACTCAGAGTGACTGATTATAATCAGAAATCATCATTAAAATGTTTTTCAGTGAACCATGACTTATCTCGTCACATTAATGCACAGGCAGAACTTTGTGATCATTAACTGTTTCTGTGACCTCTCTAATGGGGCTCTCGCTTTATCACCAGTGTAGTTTTTTCTTTCTCTGACTCCTGTCAGCTCATCCTTCTCTCTGAGTGGGTTCATGATCTGTGATCCCGGCGTCACTTGTTGACATCTGAGAATGCAGTGTGTGTTTAAAGTTGCGTAGTCTTCAGAGAGAGAGAGAGAGAGAGAGAGAGAGAGAGAGAGAGAGAGAGAGAGAGAGAGAGAGAGAGAGAGAGAGAGAGAGAGAGAGAGAGAGAGAGAGAGAGAGAGAGAGCTCTAATTTCTGCTGTCTGGATGAGTTTTGTGTCTTCGCAGCCTGATGACCTGACATGAATAACATAAACTTCATTCATATTTCTCAAAATGTTCTTTTCAAAGAGGGTAAATACATTCCTGCCTCTACAGGAATCTCCTAACCACACCTATTTGAAAACGACGAGGCCTCACTAAAACACGTCTGCATGCTCATCCTTTTACATTAGACGGCTCCTTCCCTCTCAACAGGCCGCGGCAGCCTCAAAAACTCAATTTAGAGGATTCCTGTCTCATGTTTTCTTGAACCGCTGGTATTTAAGAAGTTTTTCATGTCACCAGTGAGCAAAACATCTCCCCGGAGCCGGAAACGGTACTCTGGCAGTGACTAACATCAAATCCAGAAGGTCCTTACAAAGCGTTTCCCCAGACTGGATCCTGTACTCATGCGTGCACACTTCTGGGGGGGCTCACAGTGAGACAGAGTGTCTATATAAGAAGAAGATAAAGGCTTTGAATTTCTTTGGGGTAAATTTTTGTTCCTGAAGATTTCTTGGAAACTAAAAAAAAGTGACTTTTAAAGTTTTCTCGTGTTTCAACACGTAAGAAGTGAAAAGCTATATGCAAATTACAGTAACCGCAGAGGTTGAGTGCTTTGGACAAACAAACTTTATGCATGAGCTTCAGTGGTGTAAACAGCAATAAACAGGTATGACCAGTCCTATCGGTTAAAGCCTGACTCATCACTCATAATTCCATATGGGTTCGACGTGGTGAGGACTTTCTGCACAATAGCATTCATTTAAAAGTCAAACATGTCATCTAACAACCTCGTTGAGATGGGCCTACATGCCTGAAATCTGAAGCTCACTGCTCATTAAATGTGACAAATCCCTATTTTTGGTTTGTTTCTCTTCACCCTACTGCCCCTGTTCTAAATGGGATCGATTCTGAACATTAAAAGAACCAGTTTGTTATGATTTACCCCCAAAGTTGAGATCATTGTTTTTTTTTCCCAAGGAGAGGCCAGTTAGAGACGATTACTCGTTTGTGGTGTTAGCCGTTTCACGCGTCAAGTGTTAACTCCATCTTGATTAAACAATTACCCCGTCAAGAGCAGATGAGGCCCCTGGCGTGTCGGCGGCTGACACTGGATGGAGCCGGGTCGTCAAAGGCTCATCGTGTGAGCCTGAAGACGCTTTGATTGTCATAATTGCTCCACTCAGAAACACATTAGTCACATCTGCAGTCGACTGGCAACAATAAAAGTGCCAGGGTGCATTCTGCAGCTTGTTCACGTGGTCATGGGAGATTAATCAGCTCAGACACTTAATATCTACCTCTGGCCTTTGCTGCTAAGGACGTAAATATACAGACACTGATAGAGAGGAAGGAGAGCTGGTGTTTTCTTAGGAGTGAAAGGGACACATGAGGATAGATGCAGCAAACAGAGATGAGCTGTAACTCAGAGGATATAGAAGGACCCCAGAGGACTTTCCACCAGAAGGAAAACCTATTCTCCAACAGAGACATAAAAGTGCAGATGAGTCGCGAAAGACAACTCAAACCAGCTCCCACACATCCTCGACATGTCTGGCCTTTACAAAAGCATCGCCGGTGTGCCGATGTGCCCCTGCACGCTTCTCCTGTGTGTAGAAACGAGGGTCGGTTCGAAGTTTAGACTCAAAACAAACAGAGAAAATCCTCAATTCACAAGCAGACAAGAGCTGAGGTGGAAGTCTTCAGCGTGAGCTGTGCAGAGATCAAGGTTTAAAATTGAAAGGATGTGAATGAGAGGCGCCCGATGGTTGCTGTCAGCCATGTGTCACCAGGAGAGCTACCAACGGAGAGGGAGCATTCCTAGACCATGAAACATGAAAGCGTTTAGCCGGAGAGGTCCGGAGTCTGTCAAAACCATTCCTTAAACGTTATGTATGCTTTGATGCAAACATCAAGCGTCAGCCGAGCAAATCACAGATTATATTATCAGATGGCACCAGAAAATCAACGTTTTCAAGGAGTAAATGGGCCAGTGGCTGTGGTGCTGCGCGGTACTCATGTCCTCCCCGAGAAGGAGATGCTCAGCAGAATGCCACGGCCAATACGTAATGACCTAGAGAGCTGACAACATTGGCATGAGGGGCATCTGTGGTTAAGACTTCAGAATGAAGTCAGTAGACAGGAAGGGGCTTCTTGTCCACTTGCTTGGATCTGGACCATCGTGGGATGACGGCAGGAAAGGAAATCAGAATGAAAAGCGTCTTTGTGCTGAGGAAAGAAAAACGAATACCAACTTTCATGTCTTTCCACTCTAACATTTCTTCCTATACATTCCCTAAATACATCCTGCTCTGTCTCGCTGTGACTCACACAAGCCGTAAACACGCAGCAATTGCATGGTTTCACTTTTCCCAGCTCGTCTGACACAGACGTGGATAGATACGTTTCCAGCCCTCCAGTGTTGGCCAGAGTCCCTCTCCTCCTCCTCCTCGCTCCTGCGACACCATCACCTCTAACACTAGTTAAACCAACTCACGTAATGCTGCAGCCGTTTGATATCAAGAAATCTCCCCAGGCATAACCTTTGTCAAAGGTGCAAAACACAAGCACACGCTGCTCCGCCCATGTGACCGTCCGACTCCTCGCTACACTGAACACACCCCATAAATACCTGCGCTGAAAAAGATAACAGCGACATAAAACAAACAGCGGGAAAGGCACCTACTGTTGTTGCAAGCAAACAGCCTGCTAATGGAGTCCTGCAGAGGCCTTGTCTCGTCTTTTTCCTCTTAGGTGAGCATCAGGAGGCCTGAGGACAGTGCTTGGAGAAGGTAATAGGGACATATTCCAAAGATCAGGGCGGGATTAGCACTAATGCCTGCCGGGTTTATCTGCAGTCACGTGGACAAACACCTGGCTGCAGTGTTGGTGGCAAAGCTCAGTCCTTGCTTTTTGTGTGTGTGCACATATGTATGTGTGTGTGAGAGAGAGTGTTAATCCGTCTGACACCTCCAACTCAAAGGGTTAGGCCGACACTCGGAGCCCACTGATGGAGAACAGGCTGCTCTTCCTCTGAAACTCTCCCCGCCGCCACCTCGTCACAATAATGGAGAAAAGCTTGGCGAGTTGGATGTGTTGTGTTGGCACCAAGAGGCTGCAAACTAAAAGTGGATGATCCGTGCCAGGATTGGCTGCTCTGAATGCAGCTTTGGTTCTAATGCAACAGAAAAACATTTAGGTTAGAAAGCGCTGTAATTTTGTTGGCCAGCCACATCAGTTGGCACGAGCTCTGTCACTCAGTAACTAAAAGGATAATTAAAAAAAGCCTGGTCCTTGTTAGAGAGAGCTGCTGTTCATTATCCAGACAACAACATGCTTCGGTCATGCTGGGGATTTTATACGTTGTTTTGTGATTTCTAAATTTGATCCTTGTATCATTTTAATCCGTTAGGTGTGCAAGTGGCTTAAAAAGCTTAGATTTTCATGTCCCGTGGATAAATACAGATTAATCCGGAGACCAAGAGACTCACGCAAACGGTAAAGCTGTCAGCTGCGCTGAGGCTCGAGCTGAACATGCAATTAAATCTGCAAATTTGGTGCTCGGATCGATTCTAGAAACGGTAAAGTTCTGACTCTAAAAGTAATTACAGATGAAAAGGAAGCATAATCTTTACGCTCGCTGACACTCTCTGGGCTACTTTCTAAAGAAGAGTCCACGAGCTGCTATTCTGGCTCCTAATCTGTCTATGCCAGATCCTATTTTAGCACAACAGCATCGCCTCTAAAGCCACAGGTCGATGTTTCTGATAACGAAGATTGGTGGCCATCTGGCACGCTTGCAGTTCCACTTTCCAGTGTAAGTGAGCACAAGTAGATAAAATACGTCATTATCATTTCCAATAAGTTTCATTTATCTCAATTTATTTGAATCATTTCACAATTCTTAAAATATTTAAGAACCACACTTTGTTTCTGTTGTCCAGATGAGTGTTTACAGGAACTTTAGGTGTGTTGCAGCGTCAGGAAGGAAGCTGTTGCACAACCTTGCAAAGTTAAAGTGCAAAAGTGAGCCTGTGGATCCAGAAGTCTGTTGCCTCTGAATGCTGCCAGATCACCCCCTCCGATGCATCTACCTTGACAGAGCCCAAAGCCTTTTTTTTAATTGGCAAAGTATCAATATCAGATCTTCTTTATTCAAACCCAAAGGTTGTTTAAATTGAAAACCTACAGAACGATGACTTAATGACAGATTGACAAGTAACGCATTGGTTCACCCAACACCTCTTTTTCCTCTCGTCGTGGCCAGATTTAGCAGGTTATGAAAGTTGAACGGCTCAGTTGACTTTGAAGCTTAACCTCGATCGACTGGAGCACAGCAAGGTGCGGAATAATCTCTATGTATGATATGTGGGCTTAGTGCAAAAAGGGATCATCACTCTGGAAAAAATAATCCAAGTGAGCATGATCAAGTTTGCTTTTCTCACATCACTTCCAATAAATTATGATCCTTATCCCCCTAATCATTAAAACTAATAAAGGTGTAGCTCTGCTAGAAATAACAGTTAGGCAAACATCTGAATACAGATTAAAAAAATTGGCAAGTGGGAGAAAATCTAGAAAAAGGAAAACCAAAGAATACTTGGAGGACAATTACGTATGCAAATGAGGCAAACCAGCACAGGAGGAGAGACAGAAACCGTTCCTCTTTGACTGAACACAACTGTCTGTGTGGTTGGAGCAAAACAATTACAACAATGATTTATTTTTCTCATTTTCACTCCAACATGGTGGCATGGCCCCCTTATAATCAGTGGTAATCGCCCTGCAAGTATCTCGTGCCAGTCTGCGGAGCACCACGCTGTCATGTGGTTCCATGGAGGGTCGCTTGTTGATACAGATAAGCCAACGTGTGTTTTCTGCCACTCAGGCACTTAGCGAGGCATCTCTGTCAGCAGCTCCTAACGCCTTCCCACATAAGCTGCCAGCTTAAACCAACAAAAGGAGATGCTCTGTCCTTACCGTTCGGCTGGCTAATCCAGAATTAGCTGCGTGGTGTTGTCTTCAGCTGACCTCCTCAGGCAAGTGCTGACTGGGTAAGTCCATCATCATCATCACAGGTGATGAGCAAAGGCAGTACTCCAGCTTTTTCCCATGAAAATGATCACAACTCCTTGTCCTGGAAGTGTCCTGACTTGATTCAGGTCCAGGGTGTCTTATAGCATGTTTACTCTTCCCAAGACGTATTTGTAGTGGAGAAGATCAGAATCAACATTCCGTTGAATGCAAGCTTTATGGCACTCCATTAAAACAAGAAAGAAGAGCAGAAGTTGATGATCGAGACGTCCAGATTCAGAAAACTCCTGTCTCCATGCTCCTCCGCTCAAAGTGTCTGGTCTTCTGTTGTTTTTGCAAGAAAAAACTTTAACCTGAAACAGAAGGAGAGATCTGAGCTGAGGTGCAGTGGCATGCAAGAAACAGATCTCACAGATGTCCTAACTTTTATCCCATCTGTTGTGAAACTCACTTCCTCTCAGAGCGCTTCATCTTCACAGAAGCAGCACTGATGGAAGGACAATGCACAGCTCCTTACCCTCTTTTCCAGCAGGTCTTCTCCTCAGATCCCGGGAGGGCCCCTCAGCTGGTCGAGAGGATGGTTTGGGTGAGGAATTGGTTACTGTAAGTGAAGCAGAGTGCTTCCTTCTGATGCCTCTGCCTGCCTCCCCCCCAAAACTGTTGCTCCTCCTCCTCCATAGTTGTGCTTGTGGGCCGAGTCGGATTACTCCTGATATGTTAATCTCCCTGGCCCTAACTCCAGGAGCACCAAAGGATGCTTTGGCCCAAGCAGGAGCTTACGCTCACCTTCTGCTGCAGGCTCTTGGTAATAGCCTCAAATGGGCAAATCAGTGCAGTCAGAAGGGTCTTTGAAAGCAAGTGTTTTCCAATCTTTTAAAGGGAATTAGGAAAGGGCACAATTGGCTTAAATGCTTCTTAACCTCCTTTAAAGGGAATAATCACAAAAGAGGTATTCTCAATTCAATCTACAGTTAGGAGATAAAACTACGGCAGTTGTTGTTGAGGATCTCACATTCCCCCTTCATCGCAAACCCTCGTGTTTTAGCCCGTGAGCCCTCAAGCGGCAAATGAGGAGCAGATGGCTGCGCTTTTGCAAGGTATCAGGCACTCCAGACTGCAATCTAAATAAACACCCCCTTCCCGGAGGAAATGTGTCAGGTGTGCAGGGGTCACTAATGTATAAACAAAGGCCGGTGAGTTTTAGAGATGAGCCAACTGATGCGCTTGATGGGGAGAGATGAGGGAGATGCGCTGGACTCCACAGGTGGTGTTAGGGAGCACGAACCCTCCAAATAACTGTAGAACGTTCAAGTGGAACAGAGGGTCCAGGAGCACATCAGGAGCAGGGGTGACGGTGGCACAGGAGTTAAGTGCTCGTCCTGTAATCGGAAGGTTGCAGGTTTGAGTCCCGTTCAGGTGGTCGCTGTCATTGTGCCCTTGGGCAAGACCCCCCCCCCCCCACACACACTTGCTGGTGGTGGTCGGAGGGACTGGTGACGCCAGTGCTCGGCACCCTCACCTCAATCAGTGTGCCCCAGGGCAGCTCATCCCCACCAAGGTGTGAATGACTGATTGTGTTGTAAAACACCTCGGGGGGTTCCAGGACTCTAGAAGGCGATATATCAAATACAGGCCATTTACCATATCTGGAGCCCAAGAGGCTGGAAATAAATGAAATGTTAAGGCAGGACGACAACAGGAAACAAATATTTGCTAATGATTCAGATTCTAACAACATGTCATTCTGACGTATTTTCCGACTGATTTGAGCACAAATTACAACATTGCACTAAGAAGGCATAAATGTGACTAAATTCTGAGTATTTAGGACTAAAGCTTTCTTAGGATTTAGGTATTTCGAAAATATAAATACCTGTAAAGTTTTCTTGCAATACTCGTTTAATCAATACATTTGCAGTGGTCTCTAGAATAAAATGCCTTGTATGTTGTACTAGCCACTGGTGCACCATTCCTGGGATCTAGAAGTGAGCCACGTCACATCTGAGCTTCAGACGGCAGGATTTGGAGACTTATTTCCTGATATTTGGACTCCATTCGCTAACAGCAACGCATCTCTACCACTGACTTGCAATGTTGATGTTTTATCTCCACAAAAAACTCAAGCCTGTAGAAGTTCTGCCTTGTGGTGGAGTTGCTAATGCTAATGGTTAGCTTATACTAGCCAAGAGGCTGTCTACTGTTTCTTGGATGCTAGACCAACAACAGCCTTCTCCATCACGAGTCAAGATGGAGGAGTCCATGAATGTTAAGTGACAGTGCAGCACCGTCCCTCCCTACACATAGATCAAGCACAGCCGAGACATAGACCTTTGCAAGAGGATTCAGGTAGATGGGAGCCGTACCGTCTCAGACTTTGTATGCTAGTGTTAGCAATTTGAATTTGATGCGTGCTGCTAGCGGTAGCCAGTGGAGCTCAATGAACAGAGGGGCGACGTGTGCTCTTTTAGGCTGATTGAAGACCAGACGTGCCGCTGCGTTCTGGACCATTTGAAGAGGTCTCACAGTACAGCCTGGAAGACCAGTTAGATTGCCGTAATCGAGGCGGGAGATGACAGTAGATTGCACCAGGAGCTGGGTGGCATGTTGTGTTAGGTATGGTCTGATCTTTCGTATGTTATACAGCGCAAAGCGGCATGAACGAGCAACAGAGGCAACATGATCTTTAAAGGTCAGGTGTTCATCAATCACATTTCGAACTGCCTTTGAAGGAGCCAGAGATTGGAAGTCATTTTGGATTGAGATGTAAAAAATATTTTTTCAGTGTTTCACCCCTTTAATGGCTAGCCTATTTCTCCTTTTAGTTCATTAAAGCCAAAATGTATGCAAAAAAAGTCATCATTGTTCAGTCAGAAGGTGCAAAATCACCCCTTCACACTTTTAAATGACCTAAGATAATGTGCATTATTGGAACGGACTTTGAGTTCAAATGTAGGCCAGAGGATCGTATGTAAACACATAATGACTTCCAGTTAGCGGCGGAGCTTGTGCCTTTGCAGCCTTGAAAAGCAGCACAGAAACATTTCCTGACATCAGGCAGGAACATTTCTTCTCTATACATATTGCTCACAGATGTGTAGCTTTCATAGCCCAGTCTGTGCTGTTTTTAAAGTTTAGCAGTTGTTAATTGCAAAATCAAGTCAAAGAAAGACAAACGTTTGATCTGTATACAATGAAAAGTCTCACTCAACAGCAAAGATTGCATTAGTCATAGAGACATTGATGTTTGAACACACACACACACGAAATAAAAAGATCTTTCCAATTTTTGTATGACTGAATTCCATATACAGTGGATTGAAGCTTTTCCACTGGGCGTGGATGAGTGAAGAAACACATTTTGTTTAGTTTCAGGCAAGATTTTAAGGAAGCCCTCAATCAGTAACACTATAAACAGACCATTCCAGTTGAGGTGTCATTAGAACGGCTGGGAATAGGGCGCAAACCCTGCTGCCGCGCTCGTCTTGCACAATCTGCGGCTTGACGCTTGGACATGTAGCCTTTTGCCAAATGTCATCTCGGTGAGTGGAAAGCTACTTTTCAAGGAACCCAAGTCTAAACACTCATTTATGAAAAAGACACAAAAGGACAATTAGGGTTTGACTGTTTTATGTTGAAAGAAACGTTTTTTTTTCCAGGCTGCGGAGGTAAATTCCTCCTGAATGAGGAACAAACGTAAAGTGCAGTTTGTGACCAGAGGAGCTGAGGCGAAGCTGCCACTGTGTGTCTCCCAGACGCTTCTTAGGACCTCTGCTTGGGAGACAATTTGTTCTTCTACATAATGTGCTTTGTGGTCTAGTCTCACGTGTTTAACTCTGTTTACTTGGCATGCCACTAGTCTTCTGCAGCTTGATAAATAAAACCAAGTGTTGGGGATGAGTTTTTATAAGAGCAGGTTAATACTGCCCTCGTCTGTCTGCGGCTCAAAACTACATGCAGAAATGATCAAACACTCATCAGCAACTATATTTTCCTTTAATGAAAATTACTTTATATATTTTAAATTCATCATTTTTTGTAAAGTTGCAACTTCAACCAATGAAATCTATTTCCTTTGCTCTTGCACGAAAACCTTTAGTGTCATCAGGACCAGAAGGTTTACGCAGGACTCTTAGTATTGAACAGGGTGCTTTCAGCAGCACTGCGTTTGGGTTTTGAGCTGCAAATTTGCGTCTGCGTACCCACGGGCCATGAGAACTCTCCACGCTATTGTCTCCAAAGGACCAGCCTGTCTTCATGCACCCCTGATCCAGGTGACTGGAAGACTGGTCACCGCAGATGGTTAAGGTCTTGTCTCCTAGCAGGGTGTCCTGGCTAACTTGATGAGGAGATGACTTAGAAGTTTCTTCATAAATCTTGTGAAGAGATTCTTTCTGGACCAAAACTTCTGAGACTTCCTCAGAACATGTGTCCTTCTCACATCGGTTTGTGTTTTCCTCCTCTGATGGTTGACATTTAGAAAAGCTTTGTGGTGATTGGTATCCCAAAGGCAACATGCACAGTCTCTTCCCGCCAACCATCTCTTCTGCTCTCAGGGCGTTGAGGGTCTCACGAAGTGCTTCCAGACTGACAAACTTCACCACTGCACACAGGTGCTGGCTGAGCTCTTTGTGGCGTTTGGTGTAGCACTGCAGCTCTTTGGGAAGCTCTTCTCCAGGATGCAGGAACCAGAAAGAAGTAATGCTGATAGGACTGGTGAATTTTTGAATCGTCTTCAGCAGAAGTGATGGACTCCCAGGGTTCCTGGCTGCTTTGTCTTCTGCATGTTCTGGGTTGATCCACATGAGGAGGAGCCTGCTGGTGGGGGAACACATCAGCCGCTGTGGAAGTGGCTCTTTGCGCCTTACTTTGGTTGCTTCATCATTCACCTCTAGGAGGGCTGAGCCCTTAGCGGCTGCCAAAGTAATGTGCCAATTTGTGGTCAGGGTCTTGATCTGTGAAAAATATTTGCAAATTCATCTTTTCACATTTTACTGCTTAGTCTTCAGTCAAATAGCTGCACAGGAGTAGGAATTCTTTACCGTTTTCAAACAAGTGAGAAGCTTGAGGCTGACGTAGCCCTGCCTGTTCCTCTGGATGTGCTTCAGCAGGAAGCTGTCCTCTGCCAGGTGACTGTTGGACAGCATTTCCTCTAGGTTATTTCTGATCTTCAGGCAGAGCGACTCGCGTTCACTTTCTTCCTCACCTTGACTCGATGGTGCAACATTTCTGCATGGCCCAGCATCACAACAAGCTCAGAAGGCAGCAGAGTGGACAAATCAGGCAGATGTTTTACATTTCCTTACCTGTTCAGATCCACCATGGTATGGTGATACTTGATACCACGCTGTGCCTCGGCTGCTTCCAAGTAAAGGACTAAAACAGCTGGTTAGGATAGAGGTAATACGACTGGAGTAAACAATGCACATTTAAACAAACACAATCATTTCAGTTGTTTTTTGGTATCCAAAACATTTTCTAAAATGCCACAGCAAAAGTTCCACTCGATAGAATGCAGCTCCTACCAACAATAAGAACCTGCAGTCGAAACAATTTACTCTGCTGTAAATGAGCTTCATGCAGGCACATTATTAGCTGCTATAAACTGAATTAAAACTAAGCTCCACTCTGCACAGTGGAGATAAGAGCAACGTGTCAACACAGAGGAGCAGTGACACTGTTGTAGGTGTGAATTTCTGCAGCGCAGTTTGGGAGCCAAGTGCACAATCAAACGTGACGCTGCTTAACTCCAGCACAAATATTACTGCATATATAATAGAATTTATGTGCAAAGCTGTAACAAAAAGCTTTCCCGTAAATGCAGCTTAGCATTCTGCTCATGTTTTTTTCTGTTTTGAGATCATTCATCTCCATCAGAAGGCTGCTGGATTGTAACACTGTCTCAGTTTATGTTGAAAAATAATTTTTAAAAGTTTCAAATTTTAAAGACGGTTTAAACCAAAACTAGTGTTTTTGAAGGTTTGATCAGACTTGAGTGATGCGGTCTCCATGGAAACATAACATTCTCATTCCGTAAGATTTCTCTGAAGTGAGATTTTAAAGAGCAAGTCACCCCGACCAGATTCTTACTAAACTCCCACTTCCTGTTTGAAAAATGCAAAAAATGCTGTTGCCTAGCAGACTGAGAGGGCGAAGCCACTAACAAATACACACACTCACGACATTGTGACATCACAATGTACCATCTAACATCATAGTGTACCTCTTAGCCAATAGCGATGGCAGATTTAAATTCAAATTCAGTGCTGAGTTTTTACCTGACGACGGTGCATCGCTGACAGTTTTAGGCCGAATATTTAAGTTTTAACCAAGATGAACTAAAATGCCGAATTATTGACTACACGTGTCTACAGCACGACCAGACACTCATTTATGTAGTTTATCAGCAAAAAAAAGTTAACTTGGAGTGACTTGCTCTTTAAAGTAACACAGATCAGTTTCTTGCTCCTCTGCCCTACTGGTTGAAAGTGGAACTACAACTGTTGTAAACAATCCTGCAGCAACCTTCTATAGCTAGCGCTACCAGCGAGTTAACACAAACATGAGGCAACTGATACCAAATAAGCCACGAAGTAAAAAGATCCACACTGTCGGCAAAAAAATATTACTACGTACAAGTCCAGCAGCAACAAAGCCAGGTCACCATATGTCTGTGATTTCATAGTCTCCTTTAGCTTCCTCAAATGAGTGTAGGCCGCACCACTGTTAACTCTTGTTTGAGATATTTGCTTTGCCTCCAAAGACATTTATAACTCTCTGACTTTTACTTCCAGGCTCCACACAACTGTTAAGTGCTGTTTCTGGTCAGCAGAGAGCTGCAGAGTGTGGTCCCATGTGAAGTTGGTAAAGTTTCTACCTACACAATCACTGAACCTCACTTTTAGCTAAAGTGTTAAAAACTGCTGAGGGTTGATTTAACATTTAGACAATCACTATTTGACACGAATGATTGCATGCAATGGTGTCTGCAGAAGCAAATTCATCAATAAATCCAACTCTGGAATGATCTGAGAAGCTGTAAAAATCAGACAGTACAAATAAAACTATCAATAGTCAGCACTCTGGACACATTTCCAACCCTTTCATTCAGTCAGGGCCAATTATTATTACTTTATTTTTTTCATTTCTAAATCACACAAATGGTATTTTAGGAATGTAGAATTTGATTGGTTTTGGTTTTGTTGGACAGCAAATTACTATAAAAAATGACTGAATTACTGTAAAGAATTCAGTAGCGTCTCTGGCATGATAAGTTAAGCAGGTATTCAAGTTGTCTCACTTTTCCAGTGGTTATGTTTCCCCAGCCTTCCTTAGTGTCGACATGAGTGATTCATCACTAAATCAAACAAATCAGCTGTGTTTATGATCTAATACATGCAGGAAGCGTGCTGGAACCAGAATGCGGTGTCAGGCATGTCAGTTCAATTTTTTCTAAGTCCCAACAGAGAAGCCTGCCCAGTCTGAAGTTGCAAGTGGAATATTCTGGCCACAGGGGGTGATAGGGGCTGGGTGACCATTCATTAACCCTGTAAAGGGTCATTTTAGCACATACTGGCTCAAGAAAACAATTGATATGAAAAATTTGCTAAGTATTCCTTTAAGCAAATAAATATAAAGGTATTCCAGATTCCACAAAGTCGTGCCACCCTGTGTTAAATGACTCAAAAGCAAAGTTTAGACTTAACATGAATTTTGAGAACATTAAAGCACAAAAATTAAAAGTTAAGGAGGTAATAAACCAACTTGGGTGGTAGCTCACTTTGCGTGGAATTAGTTTTGAACTAGAGTTCCAGTGTTCAATCCTGGTAAATAAAAGTAGATTTAACCATGCGTGCATCCTTGATATGCTTGCTCTAATAAAGCACAAAGCAAGCAACTCCTTGTCTAGCTCAGTCTGTAAGGCAATGGGTTGGTAGCTTAAAGGTCTATGGTTCAAAGCCAGAAGAAGTTACTAGTGTGGAAATTTAAATAGCAAACAAAAAGTGAGCTTTACTTGAAAGCCTTTAAAATTTTTATGTACAAAAGTTGAAATGACAAGTTCAAATGTTCCACCAGAACATTCATACATGTGAAGGGTTCTGGTGATGCAATGGGATAGTTTGGAAGTTGCCAGTGGTGTGGCAACTGGTTCAAATACCACTGGCGACCAATGAACCTGCATCAGCATGACTGCTATGAATAGGTTGAGGCAGACAGTCTGCAGTAATTTTAGGCTTTCGGTGTATCATCAACAACAATAAATGATCTAAAAAAGCAGAAAGCAATTGTCAGACTGACTAGCTCAGCCTGTAAATCAATGGATTGGTGTCCAAGGTCCAAGGTTCAAAGCCAGGAGAAACTACTAGTGTGGACATTTGAAGTGCAAACTCTATGTGGACTTTACGTGAATCCTTCACATCATGACTGGCTTTGAAATTTTATGTACAAAAGTTGAAATGACAAGTTCAAATGTCCCACCAGAACATAGTCAAGTGTGAAGGGTTCTGGTGATGCAGTGGGATAGGTTCGCGTTCGTAAGTCGCCAGTGGTGCAGCAACTGGTTCAAATCCTGCTTGTGACTGACTGGACCTGGATCACTGTGACTACTCTGAAAGGGGTCGGGGAGGGGGCCTGATTCCCTCCCTGAGTTTCTGACAAGTACAAACAGGGAGTTATGCAGAATGGAATGGTGCCAAGCTTAAGTAGCAAGTACCAAATGTAAATGTGTAAGTATCTTACAAAGTGGGCCAAATATTAGTGACTAAGCTGGCCAACTATTAGTGACTAGGGTTGGATACTTCGCTGGCCAAGTAGCATACTTATTCATAAAAGATGAAACCTTACTTCACCAAATAAGAATGTAATAATAAGTCTGTAATATTTGGCCAGCTTGGTCACTAACAACTGGCCTGATTGTTGTTACTTGAGTCACATTCCAGCTTGGCACCACTCAATTCAGCATAACACCCTGTTTTTACTTGTTAGAAACTCAGGGATGGAATCAGGACCCCTCCGCAATCTCTTTCAGAGTAGTCACATTGATCCAAGTCCAGTCAGTCACAAGCAGGAATTGAACCAGTTTCTGCACCACTGGCAACTTACGTATGCGAAACTATCCCACCGAGCCACCAGAAACCTTCACATTTGAGGACGTTCTGGTGGGACATTTGAACTTGTCATTTCAACTCTTGTACTTAAATTTCAAAGCCAGCCATGATTCATGCTAAGCCCACTTTAAGTTTGCACTTCAAATGTTCACACTAGTAGTTTCTCCAGGCTTTGAACCTTGGACCTTTTATATACCAACCCATTGATTTACAGGCTGAGCTAGTCAATCTGATAATTGCTTCCTGCTTTTTTAGAGCATTTATTGTTGTCAAGGATTCACTGAAAGCCTAAAATTTCTTCAGACTACTTGCCTCAACTTACTCATAGCAGTCACACTGGTCAGGGTCCATTGGTTGCCAGTGGTATTTGAACCAATTGCCACACAACTAGCAACTTCCAAACTATCTCACTGCACCACCAGAACCCTTCACACTTGTAAATGTTCAGGTGGGACATTTGAACTTGTCATTTCAACTTTTATATTTAAAAATTTCAAAGCCAGTCATGATGTGAAAGACTATTGTAAAGCCCACTTTTAGTTGGCACTTAAAATTTCCACACTTACTAGTTTCTCTTGTCTTTGAACCTTGGACCTTTAAGATACCAACCCAATGCCTTATAGACTGAGCTAGTCAATCAGATAGTGACATTCTGCCTTTTCAGAGCATTTATTTTTGTCAAGAATTAACTTATAGCCTAAAATTACTTCAAGTTCCCTACCTGATCCTATTCAGAGTAGACACATTGGTCCAGGTCCAGTAGTTCCCAGTGGGATTTGAACCCATTGCTGCACCACTGGTGACTTATATTTGCTAACTATCCTACCATGCCACCAGCACACATCATGCTTGAAGATGTTCTGGCAGAACATTTGAACTTGTCATTTTAACTTTTGTTCTTAAAAAGTTGATCAGTAAAAAACTTGCTTATGCAAGTTGTGTGTCCCTTCTTGTAAACGGCTTCGCTGTTCTTTCTCCAGTCCAGTCTGTTGTCCAGGTGAACTCAAAGATATTTGTATTCCTCAACCACCTCCACTTCTTCTCCCATGATGGAAACAGTGTTTGACTCCACCCCGTTTCTTCTGAAGTCTAAAATCATCTCCTTTGTTTTGTTCACGTTCAAGGTCAGATGATTGCTTCCACACCATGCCACAAAGAACTCCACCAGCTCTCTGTACTCAGCTTCCTGTCCATCTCTGATACACCCGACAACTGCAGAGTCACTGAGTATTTCTGTAGATGACAGGTCTCTGATTTGTACTGGAAGTCTGAGGTGCACAGGGTGAAAAGGAATGGTGAGAGTACAGTCCCCTGTGGTGCTCCAATGTTACTGATCACCTGGTTTGATGTGCAGTTCTTTAGCCTCTGTTTGTCAGGTAGTCTTTAATCCAGGTGATAGTTGAGGCCCCCACCTGTGTCTTCTGGAGTTTCTGGCAAAGTACATCAGGCTGAATTGTGTTAAATGTACTGGAGAAATTAAAGAACATGACCCTCACAGTGCTGCCTGCTTTGTCCAGATGACAGTGGGTTGGTTGAAGCAGCTGGATGATGGCATCTTTAAATCCAACTCCATGGCGATAAGCAAACTGCAGCAGGTCCTGATATGTTC